GATAAAAAATATGGCACCGGGAATTGATGTGATATCAAATTACAAATTCCAACAAAGATGCAATCCTGGGTGTGTTCACCAGCCTGTTCCAAGAAATCTGGAAGATCTGGCAAACTGACTGAAAGAGATCCATATTTGTTCCCATCCTAATAAAAAATGTGATCCAACAAGAATGTGGAAATTATTGAACACTAACCGGGTGGGTCCTTGGAGGCAAGGATTCTGAGGCTCCATCTAACATACTTTGGACATGTTGTAAGGGGGGACTGATCCTTGGAGAGGGACATCATGCTTGGTATGGTGGAGGGATAGTGCAGGAGGGGAAGGTCCTTTATGAGATGGATTGATTCAATGACTGTGGCAATTGGCACAGGACAGAGCGGAGTTTAGGGCTGTTGTACATAGGGTCGCTATGAGTTGCAAGTGACTCAATGACACATAACAACAACAATAACACTAATGTTGTTGTGCCCACAGAAGCACCGCCTGAAAGACACATATTCATGCATGTAAAAAGAGTGCGCTTTATACTGAAGAATAATTTTTCCGCATATGGAAGCTCCCTCCTTCAGTGGAAAGATGGAGAACGAAAGAATGAGTTTGAGACCTTCCTAGGTGCTTCCGTTTGGGGTGGGGTAATTGGGAACATGGTTTGTGGGCAGGGGACTCAGTCATGTGGGTCACTTCTAATTTTGCCCGCCTCTTCCCTCTTCCTATCACATATGCTTCTTTTCCAGAGTCATGTAGCCTGGCTAACTGGTTATTTTTAATCTGATAAGACTTTGCCTCATGAGACTTTCTAGCACCCTTGTGTTTATTTTTCCTTTATTGCCTGCTTCTAAAACTAAGAATTTTTTTTTATTGGGAAAAACAGATTGGGGGTACAAGGAGGTGAGGGTTGGGGGCAGAACGGTGAGGATGGGCCAGGATGTAGTTGCAGAGCTGCACAGTTTGGGTCGGTGGGGGGAGCAGGTGAAGGAAATGATGAGGGTCCAGTGGGGACCAGATGCTACAGAGGAATGACAAGCATTTTCCAATGGTAATTACACCTACTGTCTTATTGATTTGGGAATTGGATGCCGACTCTCTGGCTTCTTCATGCTGAACAGGGGCGTAGATGTAAAGGGGGGAAGGGAGGATGCTTTATCACCTTACTGGTGGTCTTGGGTTACAGCTGCTTGCCTTCTTGCTCTGTTAGAAGATATTTTCCTGTCATTTGCTCCCCTGTGGACTGCAAAGTGATTTCCCAGGTGGGTCCAGTGGGAATGGCTGGTTGAACCCAGAGGCTCCATCCTCCTTTGCTTCCTTAGCTGTCAGCTGTATTTCCTTTTTGTCATTGGCACTGGGTTCAGGGTCAATTCTGAAGTAAAACTCAGAGTTAAGGTTACCATAGAATACAAAAGCTATTGTCTCAGAACTTCCAGTATATCAGCTACCCTTCATTTGTAGTCTTTATGGCTGTGAAACAAACTGCCCACAACTTAGTGGCTTAAAACACCCACTGAATTATGCTCACAGACTCTCAAAGGTGAACTCCTTATTAGACGGTTCCAACTCAACTACACATCACAAGAACAACAATGTACACTCTGTGGATCAGGAACACTCTGATGAGGAACAGCAGGGATGGCCTTTTCAACTGAAAAGACTCAATGGATAGGAGTGACTCATTTGGAGGGCCAGCTGTCATCACCTGAAGGCTTCTTTACTCTAGTTCTTTTCAGTGAAATTAAACACACCATTCCATTTGGGGCCTCATTTATTTTATCAGCCAGATTATGTGGTCACTTCATGTGGTCTCTCCACTTCGTCAATGGTGACTGATTTCAAAGAGTAAACTCAATTCATTGCTATTGATTTAGAACTGACTCACAGTTCTGATCCTTCAGTGGGTTTTCACAGGCTATAAACCACACAGAACTAGACTGCCTATCTTTCTCCCATGGAGCAGCTGGTGGATTCGAACAGCTTGCCTTTGGGTTAGCAGTTGGCAACTTCTTACCCATTAGACCAGTAGAGAGTGTGCATCTTGAAAAGATCAGGTGGGAGTGGTATCATCTTTTCTGAGCTAGTGTGATGGCTAATACTGTATATCAATGATTCTTTCAATTAAAAAAACTCACAGCCATCAAATTGGTTCTAGCCCAAATTTATCCTTCATCATGTTTTCCAGGTTGCAAATACTAGTAGGAAGAGACTGCTTATCTTTCTCCAATGAAGCTGCTGGTTTATTCAACCACTGGACACATGTAGCCTGTGAGTTAGCGCTGTAGATTAATCCCTCACAGCTCCTTTAAAGACTTCCTAGTATAGCTCTTCTGGTTGCTCATACTCTGACAGCTGCAGGTGATGTTGCAGACATGGCCATGTCCAAGACCCACACCATGCACAAACCTGAAAATGGCATAGAAATGGCATCAAGAAACCCTGATCACAATGATAAGAATCTCTTGAGGGAAGACACCAAGTTCTTGAGGAACAAGAACACTTTGCCAAGAAGAATAACAATAAAGGACTTCAGAAGATGAAGGCCAATGATGACAAGGCCATGGATGAACATGCTGAGGCTGTCAAGACTCTCATAAAATCCAGGTCAAGTCTAAGTTCCCAAGGGGGATCAAGTACAAGTTCAGCCTACTTGCCTACATTACCCATCCCAAGGGTGGGCTTACATTGCCAAGGGCCTCAGGCTTTGCCCAGCCAAAATCCAAAACTAAGGGGAGCTCTGGTGGCCTAGTGGCAAGGAGCTGCAACTACAACCCCAGAGGCAAACGGTTCGAATCCACCAGATGCTCTGCCGGGGAAGGAGGGACAATCCTCCTGTACCAGTCAGATCTGATTTGACGGTACACGCAAACAAAAATAATAAAATAAAAAAATCCAAAACTAAGGCTGAAAGAAAGGCTAAAGCTCAGGCTAAGGTCCCAAGTCAAGTTCCAGCTCCAAGTCAGGCTCTCAAATATCCCAGCCCAAACAAAGGCAACATAGTAAGGTTCCCTATCTGAATACTGAAGGACTGGTGTGACATGCTGGGCTTCTATCTGCATAGAGCTAGTGTCTTTCTATGTCATTTCTAAAAATAAATCCTAAAGGGGGTGGCGGCAGGGAAATGCTTTAGTGTAATGTAACTTTCCTTTGTGTTGTAAATTCTAACCTCTATGCCTTTGAGTTGTGGTGCTGGAGAAGAGTTCTCAACATACATGACTGCCAAAAGAACAAATAGATCTGTCTTGGAGAGGGTGAAACCAAGTTGCAATATGAAGGCAAGGATTTTGAAGCTCCATCTCACATAGTTTGGGCACATGAAGGACATTATGCTTGGAAGAATAAGGGACAGTGTAAGACAGGAAGGCCCCAGATGAAATAGAAAGATACAGTTAACTGGAGTAATGGGAGTAGGTGTATCAGAGACAGTGAGACTGGCTCAGGTTCTGAGCTATAATACATAGGATCACTGAGTCATAGGCAACTAGATGGCACATAACAACATCATGTTAATGAGGGTGCTCTCTAGTAGCCTAGTGGGAAGGAGCAAACCTGGAAGTACTTGGTTCAAATCCACCAAGTGCTCTGCAGGAGAAAGATGGGTGATCTCCCATGCAGCCTCCCATTTACAGCCTCTAAAAAATCTGCTCGAGGGTCAGCTATAAGTTGGTGTCAACTCAATGGCACATAACAACAACATGATGCTGATTAGGCAGGATTAGAACAGTTCTATAAAGATACTAATAAAGGAGAGCTGATGAAAGGGAAGTCTCAGGAGTGTAATCTGCACTGAACTCACTTGGACTTTTTGGCAAAAATAGAGAGGGGTTTTTTTGTCAGAGTCTGTATCTGGCTATTGACCTCTGGACTTAACCTTGCAGTCTTCATCTCTGGTGATCTGATCTGGGATTTGTCATCATCCAAGTTTTTTATCTCTACCACTTCTAGGACTCTGATGGCCAATAATTTGGACTCAGTCTCCCCAGATACTTTTCTCTCCTGAAGTCTGACCTATAGATCTGGGACTAGCCAACTTCCACAAACCAATTCCTTGAAATCAATCAATCAATCAATCAATCAATTTATCTCTTCTCACCAACCCCTATCCCCTAAAACCCCTTAAGTTCACTCTAATCAAGTTGGCTAGAACTCATAGGAGCTCTCCAAACTAAAAGTGCAGCTCAATGGTTTTTAGGTAAATCTATGCAAATGTGCAATTATCATCTCAATCTAGTCTTAGAATATCTCCCCTTCCCATTTCCCAAATCAAGAAGTTTTACAAATTCAATCTCTCCCACAACAGATCTGCTTTTTACCTCTAGATATTCGCCTAGTATAATTTTTTAAACTGAATAATAAAAGGATGTAGACTTAACAAATTTTAACATCACTTAAGGTTTGAGCACATTTAAAAGCAGGTTTTAGTTTTAAACATCCTAACAGTACATGCATAAATGTAGTTTTCTTTGGAAAAAGTAATGGTGAGGAAAAAATTTCTGTGTGGAGCAATAGGACTTGCTGGGGTAGTTCTAAACAGGGTAAGTAAGGGAGGGTTGTATAGAATCCCACTCATAGCTCACTCTACAGGGGGTTTTACGGAAGCTGTAATAAATCTTAAAGGGGGAGATTGTCCTTTGTAGTCTGCGAAGTAGCTTAAGAGGTGTCATCTTTGAATTAGCAGTGCAATCCTCCACGGACTTGGCTCCCAAGCAGAAGATATAGGTTACCTCAAGCGACACGTGCCACATCAAAGGCTGGGTCCTGCTACTCTTTCTCCACTTAACAACTATGCCCATTACTCTTGCGCAGGCGCAGTGACTCGGCTTGCCGCCCAGAGGCGTGGGGCGGGGCCTTCATTCCCAGCGTGCGTTCGCATCGATCGCAAGCGCGTAGCGATTGTTTCTGTCTGTTGTTTAGGCATGGCTGCCGCGAGGAAGCGAAAGAGCTGCGGGACCCCGGGTTGTGGTCTCGCTGTGTGCTGACCGCGCCCTGGTCTGCCGCGGGCCGAGTGGGATATGGGGGAGTCCGATTCCTTGGACACGGGAGATCGCGCTGGTGGCCGGAGCTGGTGTTTACGTCGCCTGGGGATGACAGCCGAGTGGCTGCAGCTGGAGAATGGGAGCGAGGTGAGGTCAAGAAAGCTGGAAGAAGCGGAGGGAAGGCATGTATGGGCCGGACGGTGAAGAGGGGAGGAGGAGGGAGACTTGAGGGTGGATCTGGAGGTAAGGAGGAAAAGCTTCCTGGTGCGTTAGGACATCCTTTAAGTTGGGAGGGGGTTGTGAAAAGTAGGGACAGAGAGTGGGGAGAAGAAAGTAGAGTTGGGGAAAACCTGGAGGCTCAACAAGCAAGGGAGCAGATACCTGACCGAGGGAGGGGCAGCCCAGAGGGTACTGACTGGAAAGGCGGCACCTTTGGGGGAGGCTTAGGCCTAAAAGGATGAGCTAGGGCACGTCACCCGGTGGAGGGAGCATAGAGAGAGGTGAGCACAGAGAACGTGCAGAGAAGCTGGAGTTTTCAGTGAGAATGGGGTGGCAAGTGGGGCAGGGGCGGCACGGGACAGCCCCTTGTTTGGCCCTGGGCAGGGTCACCCGTAAGCCTGAAAGGGCTACCCAGAACGAGAACTCTGTAGAGTTTATTTTGAATAGAATTGCAAAATTTGGATTGTGCTCTCTAAAACACTCAAATACGTGAATGTTTTTCTCCTTCCTCTTTAAGTTTATGGTGTGCCAAGTACCGACTGACCTGAGATGGGCTATTTATAGAACTATTTAAAGAATTTTCCTTTCCAGAGGTCACTTAAAATGTTTTTTAATGTGATCAGCAAAGAAAAACAAAACAGTAAAGGTGAGATAAGGTGATGAAAGGGGGAGGGGTGAGGGAGGAATTAAGTTGCAAGTAGGTTAGTAAGGAGAGCTGGGTCAGGGACCAGCTTGTAACTAGGAACCATTTAGACTTTGGTAAGTATTTATATAGAAGGCTCATTTTGTAGTAAAAAGGCTCATTGATCATTATCTTTTAAATACTTTTTTTTGTCACGTGTAGTTGCTTCTTAAGCATCTGAAGGTTGGGCAGTGAATAAAGATAACAGAAGAATCATGCCTTTCGAGAATGGAGTTGTATTGGAGAAGAATACTGACGATCCCATGAACTGCCAAAAGAGCAAACAATTCTGTCTTGGAAAAAATGCAAGCAGGTGCTCCTTAGAGGCAAGGATGGATGGCAAAACGTCCTCTCACATACTTTGGCATTATTGCCAGGAGACACCAGTCCTTGGAAAAAGATATCACCCTCCATCAGAAAGGTGGAGAGTCAGAGAAAGAAATGAAGACTCTCAACAAGATAGTTTAATCTAGTGACTCTAACAGTGGGCTCAAACATATCAAAGATGGTGAGGATGGTCCAGGAGAGAACAAAGTTCCAATGTGTTGTTCAGAGGGTTGCTGTGAGTTGTAGTTAATTGACAGCACCTAATGACAAGGGCATGTTTGGTGAGATTTTGCTGTAAGTTTCAATTCAATAGTCCAGCTACTTTGAGTACTGCTGATTAAAGGAGCTGGTGGCATAGTCTGTAGTGATTTGTGTTGCTAACCAAAAGGCTATGCCTCACTGGGAGTTCAAATCTCTAAGAAGTTCTGTGAGAAAAGTAGGCAGTATACTATGATTAAACCAGTGGAAGGTTGCTATGAGTTGACATTGACTTGAGAGTGAGTGAGGGGTTTTTGCATTTACGCTGTTTAAGGTGGTGTAGTGTGTTGTATGTTACACTGTCAGTTGAAAGGTCAGCAGTATGAATCCACCACTTGCTCCATGAAAGAAAAATGGACATTCACTTTCTGTAAAGATGTACAGTTGTGGATACTGAGTTGAGTGGAAAACCCCTGTAATTTAGAATTAACTTATCAGTTTGATGACAGAGTTATGCTATTTAGTGTACTATAAGACAGGTAAGTCTTAAAACTTTCGTACTGAAAGAATTTATACCCTGTATATGTAAGAAAGATTTATACATTGAAGCCATCAGAGAACATCTGTGCAGGACAGGATGTAGATTGAGTACTAATTTAGTCAGTGGTTCTTAAAGTTAGAGGAGAGATTCGGGTCCAGTCCTAAAGTTACTACATTTGAGGGTTATTTGAGAAACTCTGGAAGACACTTCTACCTCAGAATACCTTTTCTAAGTATCAGTGCCTAAAAATCCATGCTCGACATTCTTTTCCTTTTATGACCTTTTCTAAACCATATGCCTTAAGAAACTAAGACTTTAGCACACAAGTCACAGCAAATGCCTTATTTTGTATAGGTTTTGGGCTTTTAATATATTGTTATTGTGTACCATAGAGTTGGAACTGACCCATAGCTAGCCCACCAGTGGGTTGGCAGAAGCTATACATTGGACAGAAGGAAATTGCCTATCTCTTTGCTGTGGAGCAGCTGGTTGCTTCAAACCACATACCTTTGTATAGGCAGCACAATTCTTTATCACTAAGCCACCACAGTTCCCTTTTAATGTATTGTTGTTGTTAGGTGCTGTCGAGTTGAGTATGACCCATAGCGACTTTGAACAAGAGATCTGAACCCTGTCTTATCCTACCCTGTGCCATACACTTCCTGAGACCCTGGAGCACATTGCGGCAGTCACTGTCAAGGTTGAGGGACTTCCTCTCCTTTGCTGACACTCTGTCTTTCCAACTCTTATGTAATGTGTTACTCAACTCTAATTGATTATTTATTCATGTACTACACTCTTATATAAAGCCTTATAAGGTAATTCTGGTTAAGTGTTAGCTCATTATTTTCCACCTCAGATTCAGTTGCTGTAGGCTCCTTTATTCTCCTGAATATCTTTGGTAGCATGAGGGCTTAAGAGGGTCACATGAGGACAAAGCATCTGAAGCACAGGCACAAGGATAATATATCACTCCTACACACATCTTAAGCTATAACTTCCTTTTGTGTGGGGCCATCTCTGTGGGGAGAAACCCATGGAGATCAGATTGAATAGTGAAGACAATGGGAATGACTAAGTCTTGCCTATGAGGCTTGCCTGTAAGATCAGGTCTTAGGAAGTTGTGGAGCACAGCCTGCACTTTACAAAGAGAAACTTTAGTTAAAGGCGAGAGGTAAGGTTTTATTGTTAAATTGCTTAAAATCATAGCATACTAAGGTGATGCACTCAAGATTTAAGGAGGTGGTGGTGGTGGTGGGTGGTGGTGGTGGTGGTTTGGTGCTTTTGAATCAAATAAAACTTAAATGAACAGCAGACCTGAACATTGCCCTATACAATCCCATCCTCCCCATCTTTGATATACTCGAGCCCATTGTTAATAGTCGTTCTTTTTGAGGGTCTCCCTCTCTTTCTTTGACCCTCTACCTTTCCCAGCATGTCTTTTTCCAAGGACTGGCCCCTCCTGACAGCACGCTCAAAGTCTCTGAGACAAATTTTACTGTCCTTGCCTCCACTGCTTCTTTGCTTATTTCTTCTTTTGACAGTCTATGGTATATTCAGGGGGTTATAATAGCTCAGGGCTAGAGCATTTGACTGCATAGTATATTCAGTACTCTTTTCCAACACCACAGTTCACAGGCATCAGTTCTTCTGTCATCCTTACTCATTCTCCAACTTTCAGATGGGTAGGAAACAATTGAAAAACATGACTTGGATTATGCATACCTTTGTCTTTAAACTGGCATCAGTTAGCTCCTTACAATAGATTTTCCCAGTGCAGCATGATTTTGATTTCTTTTTTACATTTTTTTAAATTTCTTTTCTACTAATTTATTTATAAAATTTGAATACAAATTAGAACAAATCCAATTTCCCTCACCCCCCATCCATCAAATCGTACAGCCTGATGATTCATCCCTTCCTCCCCCTGTATATCCACATCCCTCTGCTTCCAGCCTCTCCCACCCCTTTTGGATCTTTATACTCATTCTACAATAATAAATTTATACAATATGTATCGTTGTGGGACTGAGTTAGTTCACTCAGCATAATGCTCTCCAGTCCCTCCCAAGTTAGGTAATAATTTACAAAATCATTCCTCCTGTGTGCTTCATAGTATTCCATTGTGTGAATGTACTATAATTCCTCAATCCATTCATTTGTGGTTGGACATTTGGGCTGTTTCCATGTTCGTGCAATGAAGAATAATGCTGCTATGAACATTGGTGTACAAATCTATTTGTGTCTTTTTATATTCTCAAGGTATATTCCAAGTAGTGGAATAGTTGGGTCAAATGAAAGTTCTATGTTCACTTTTTGAAGAAGCACCAAACTGCCTTTCAGAGGGGTTGTACATTTTACATTCCCACCAACAACGTGTAAGAGTACCTTTCTTGCCATACCCTCTGCAACATTTATTACTTGCTGTCCTGTTAAACTTTGCCACTATTACTGGAGTGAGATGGTACCTAATTATGGTTTTGGTTTGCATCTCTCTTATTGCTAGTGATTGTGAGCATTTCTTCATGTGTCTGTTTACCATTCAAATATCTTCCTCTGTGAAAATTCTTTCCATGTATTTTGCCATTTTTTGGTACAATGACAGGCACATAGACCGATGGAACAGGATTGAAAACCCAGAAATAAACCCAGCTATCTATAGTTAACTGATATTCGACAAGGAAATCAAAGCTATGGGGAAATGATAATTTCTTCAACCAGTGGTGCTAGAAAAATTGGACTTCTACCTGCAGAAAGCTGAAACAGAATCCACATTTCACACCATACACATAAATCAACTCAAGGTGGATCAGAGACCTGGGAGTGAAGCCCATGAGAGACAAACTGGGATCAAGCTTAGAAGCGGTAGTCCAAGGTATATAGAGACTGGCAAATACAACTAGAAATGCACAATCTAAAGAGGATAAAATTGATGCATGGGACCTTCTAAAGATTAAATCCCTGTGCACATCAAAAACTTTGTAACAGGATCAAAAGAAAACCAACAGACTGGTAACGAAGGTTTGGTAATACCATCTTAGACAATAGTCTTATAACCAAAGTTTACAGAGTACCTCTGGACCTCCACAAGAAAAAGACTGATAACCCAATTACAAAATGGGCAAAAGACATGATTTTTATTTCTTTTTTTTTCACAGAATTTTCTAGAATTTTTATTGG